AGAGAGAGAGAGAGAGAGAGATACATATAGATATATAGATATATAGATATATGTACCGAATTCCCAAGATGAATGCAATTTTTATGCATACAAAGATATACCAACATTAGAAAATGTTGGGAGAATATCTTTAAGCTTAAATTCATTTGTATTTTTAAAAGAAACATAGCTTTCAAGGGAAACTTTGTTGTCTCTGAAGAGATCAACGTCTTCACAAAATTGTCCTTATAGCTTAGCAAACTGAAGAAGTCAGTACTGTACTCTGTCTGAACTCACCGTTAATAAATGAACTGCTCTTTTTTTAAAATTTTTTTTTTTTTTTCAGGTGCCGGGAATCAAACTCACGACCTCGCACTTGCCACGCAAGTGCTGTGCTGCTGAGCTAATTCCCCAGCCCAACTGCTCTTTTCAATCAATGAAGGGTGTAAGTATGAATTATAGTTTATATTTTCAAGAACATAATGTCAGTTACTGAGTTTAATTTAAAATCTTATGTCTTTCCCTTTAATCTTCATTCCAAGGAATGAAAAGTGCTACTTAGTATGTGCAGTAACTATAAGAAACACACAGGTTGTTCAAATAAAAAGATTGAAACATAGGCATTCTCCTTTGTTAGTACAAACCAAAAATAACTTCAACAGAGGAATCAAATGAAATCTATGTGCAAAAGAAATTAAATCTGGAATAAGCACAACTTATTTGGGGGGAAATGTTATACATCTGACTGCATTTGTGCTTTACTACAGGAACGGTGGAGCCCATGGCATATAATCTTACCCAGTTAAGGAAGCACAATATTGAAAAACTGTATTTCTTTGATATTACATAGTATAGAAACTCGTTAAGAAAGAGATTTCATAGAAGTCTTGGTTGCTTAGCAACCAGTGATCCATGAGGACAAGTTCATTTTTAACCTATTATAGTTGACCAAGTCTCACTGGTGCTGCTGTGAGTCATAGGTGTGTAATTCTCCAAACATATCAGATGAGAAGTTGTCGTCAGTGTATGTCCTGGCACAGGTAAGAAACTAGCACATATTTAGAGAAACTGATTCTTTCTCTTAATGCATCAATGCCTTACCCTCTCCTTGGAGCAACCATGTTGAGCCAGTGACTCTGTCCAGCTGATTCCTGAATATAGGATCAAATCCCATGCTGTTATGCTGCAGTTAAAGAAGCAGAAAAACACAGGTCCTCAGCTTTACTGAATCCTTGTTAACATTTTAATAACCGTGCTGCAGAAGCCCACAGATACATAAACTCTAATTAACTACTTATTGACATTAAAATCTCTATTCACCAAAGCTATAGTCTGCTGATGATGAGTGCTAGGTGGCGGTCAAAGTGACAATTACAGATAGCTACTTTGAAGAATCAAAATAAACTTATTTTTGTATGAGCATGAAGACATCATCAAATGTGTCCAAGCAATGCACTAATGAGACGTTGCTGTGTTATTGTCTCAGGCAGAGAGAAGGAAGAGAGTCCGGTGAGGCTCCATGCAATCACCAGGGAAGATATAAAGAGTCCTCTGGCCTCAGCCACATCCTATCTCTGTGGCTACCACAGAGCATGCACTCAGGCTCCATGTCTCTTATGAGCTACCCTGAGCTATGCAGTGCTATACCCTATAGAACTCACTGTTATATCCCTGTGACTCCTTCCATTGCTTTTTGCTCCAACGATGTAAGCTCTACCATTGGACATTACTTACCCAGTAGCTACCAAGGAAATCTCTGGCTCCTGGACCATTGTCAAGAAACCTACTGTGACGTGCCAAGCTGTGACTCTCCCAGCTGTGAGCTCAAGACATGTGCTACAAACTGTGACCCCCAGAATTCCTGTGTGTCTTGTGACTCTCTATCACCAGGACAAGTCATCACTGCCTGCAAAACCACCAACCTCAGATCCAGCCCCAGCTGCAGCCCATGCACTCAGACCAAGGGGTATGTATCCAACTGCTACACAACCACTCTGTCCGCATCTAAAGCGTGCCAGACTCTTCGCAATGAATCTAACTGCTTTGGGCAGCTTAACTACTTATCAAAGAGACCCCAACCCCGAAGCCACTGCAGACTTGGTGTCTGGGCATACAGAAGCTATCCAACTTTTGGCTTTTTCCCTGGCAGCTTTTCACCAGCATGTAACACTGTCCGCAGATATCAGCCCCGAAATTACTTGCTGAAAAATCACCACTATCTGAATTGCGGACCTATGAGCTACCGACCACTGAGCTATTCATGCAGCAAATTCCGGTCTCTGAGCTGCATACCCAGCAGCTTTCCACCTCTGAGATATCTGTGTAGTGGCTACAGACCTCTGAGTTGCTATTGATCAACTAGCAACATCTATAAAAGCTAGACATTTTTCCAAGGGGCAAATTCTACCAAGTAGTATCTCTAATATTCTGATGAATTGCCTTATGCATTTAAAAAACTTTGTTACAATAACCCTATGGTTTATTAACCACATCTATAATTACCTGCTAGATATTTTTCTGCTGTTTTGTTAATGCTCTTTGTGTTAAATCCTGATCCTGAAAGTAGTATTATTTTTAAGACTATGGCAGAGTCACAGAGGGACTTCACATGAAATATAACCATCACCAGCTTTCTTATCTTGATTTTCACTGTTACTTGCCTGCCAATATGGCTGTTACCTGCTTTTCCTTGATGAGGTAGGGTTTCTTTGGCTTGATGGCTGGTTCCAACATGCATGTACTTTCAGATGGTTTTATTTTCCACTAATAACTTTGTCAGCTGTCTAGCTAGCATCATCCTACTAGTAAACTGAGAGATAACGTCATCTTAAATATATCGGATGGACCACTTCATCCTTGCCTTGATTGATTTTAAAAGCAAGCAAGTAGCAATGACTGACTGAAGCTAAAAAAGCAGAAGACAGTATGAAGGATGGCACATGCCTGTAGTCCCAGCTCTCTGGAAAGCTCAGGCTGGGAAATGGATCACAAGCTTGAGCCCAGCCTGTGAAAATGAGTGACTTTGTAAGACCCAGTCTCAAAATGAAAAATACAAAGGCATGTGGGTGTAGCTCAGTGTGAAAGCTCTGGGTTCAATCCTCAATCCTGGAGAGAAAAAAATGACTTTAGCAGATCTCTTTCAAAGAAGACATAAAATATAGGATGGACTATCACTTGACTTTTGTCCTCAGTACCTAGGAGAAAGACTCAGAAGTCACTGAAGAACAAAAACTACTTGTTGAAAGAATGACAAATGCTATATAGACTCTTGATTAGTTTTATTCTGCATTCAAGATTTTGCCCTAACAAATTATTGTGTCTGATTCTAGAAAAGATCCTGATTTACAATTAATAAACATTTTTATCTGGGAGAGATGGCTTTCCTTTTGCTTTACTTTACATTCACTAAAGTTTTTATCTATGTCAGAAATATGCACATCATTGTCAAAATCTTAGCTTCTTTCCATTTATTTTATAGTATAAATTAAAAATATGAAGAAATACAATATGAAGTCCAAGTTTCTTGATTTTTTTTGTTGTTGTTGTTTTCTTTTTGGCATATTAAATGTATTTGCCTTAGAATGCCTCTAATTGA